GGAAGTATGACAAAACCTATTGTACTATTCCTACTATAATAGCACTTGCAGCATAAACACATAATATGAAGATAGTGTTTCGTGGTTTTACCAATTATGTCATGACAGAATGTTATTGACTGAGAAGACAAATTCCAGAAGAAGAAATTGCAGTTGAGTAACAGAAAGGCTAGTTAACCAAGTATAGAAAGAAATTATGTTTTAACAGCTGGCTAATTAGTAATATACTTTTATTCTAATATGCAAAACAGCTATTAATATGAAAAAATAAATATATTTATAGTACAAAATGGAAGAAACATGATTAGCAGGATGTATGTGTTTTACACAATGAAAATAGCATCAAAATCCATGTCAAAGCACACACAAAAAAAAGAGAAAAATTACCTTTTCATTTTGCAATCCATCCCTTGGCCCAACTTCTACAATCTTTATGTACTCAGGCAGTCCAGATGCTTGAGATTCCTGAAATAAAAATCAATACTGAAACACAAAACAATGAAGGTCACCAAGATCAAAGGTGTATCTTGTGCATGTCCTCTCATATGATACCGGGTATAAAGTCATATTGTCAACATTAAGTTTGCTCATGGCCTTTAAAAAATCTGTGAGAACATGTTCCACACCTGAATTTAGGGCATAAAAGTTAAAAGCAGAAGTTACCCACATGCATGTTTCACTGCTCCTCTGAGGCCACAAATGTTTATTATAAAAATGTACATAAAACCATAAATGAACACTGTGTTTTACAGAGTGAGAAATAATCTCATTTCAAAAAGCTTCCCAACAAATTATCCAGGCCCCCAAAGTTCTAAGTGAATGTTCTCAACTCACCTGAACAGTTACTTCTCTGTAAATGTTTGCAAGACCAGGCTATAAATCTGCAAGAACAGAGCAGTCAAGAAATGCTGAAGAGATTATTAATGAAAGATGAAAGTAATTCCTCTGCCTGAAGATGAAGTCTTTAAAGAAGGATTTAAAAGGCAACAAGGAAGGCCCCTGATAGACAAGAAGAATTTTCCAGGTGTAAGAGCAGCTCTGGAAAGGCCGGAGGCTGACAGTGACAGGAGGGAATGAAGGCAGCAGTACAGTAAAAGGGCTAAGGAGAGCACAGGGAGTTGGAGTGCGAGGAAGAAGAAACAAGAGCAGAAATGCAGGTGAAGGGAAATGAAACTTCCTTTTTTATTATTTAGTTGCTCTGTTATTGAATCAAGTTGACAGGTGTGGCAGTTAACGTAACCTGGGCCTTTAAGTCCTGAAACAGTTCGGAGCCATTGCTTGGACGGAGGAGCGGGCAGGAGGGACGCAGGCAGCCTCACCAGCAGCACTGGAGATGCCCTGTTTCTGTATTACACCAAATACAGAATCTGACTCATTGTCTCCGTTCCAGCACTGAAAGCCCATGTTGGGATTGGCACAAGCTACCTGTGGGACTGCTGCTCCCATTGCACCCACCGCCCTCCCTGAGAGCCGAATGCCACTGGAAGGACAGCACTGTCAGCCCTGAGGACGGCTGCGGGAGTCACAGCTCGCCCGGAGACCAGAAGTCACTTCTGCTGCCCCTAAATACAGCCACTAATCTCACATCACCCACAACGAGATGAAAAAAACATTTTTCATCCCTCTCTGGCTAGTATCACCAGGGTAGTTTCAACCGAACGGACACTAATTTCTCCTCCCAGTAATGGACAATGAGCACTCCTCCAGCACCTTTGGTTTCTCTCCGCATTCTCGGTGCCCATGGATTAAACTAAATTCTCTGCAGCAACAGTCACGGTACCAGCCAAAATACAATAAACATACTTCAGAGCATTTACTGTGTATTTATCTGAGCCCAGTAAAAAGAATGGGAAACAGCTGGCTAGTATCTATTTGATCACGTGGAACATCTGGTGAGTTAAAACTGTCAGGCTGCGCTAAGCCCACACTCGCTGACAGTATAAACCTACTTAAATGTGAAGGTAAAACCTTCACATCTGCTGCATATTGTTTCTCTTTTTTTAAGTTATTTTCACAAATATGGCACTGCTTCAGCACTATGGGCATAAATCTGGGTTATTTCATGATTATCAGATCCTTCTTGTTACAAGACGCATGACACAGCTGCGACTGGAAGAAAAGAAAAGGAGCTAAAACAGATTATGTGAACCAAAGCTTAATCTAGAGCATGAAAAATTTCCACAAAACTTCAGTGGCAAAAATGTTCAATTTCTAGGTCAAATCCTGTAAATCCTATGCAGTTCCTTCTGTGGTAAAACTTCTGCTGAAATCCAAGAGCTGTACCTGTCTTTACGGACCAGTTCACACAGCTAGAGCACGTGCAGTAGCCATTCACAGCACCGCTCAGGGGATGTCTGCAGCCCTTGGATTTCACAGGGGACAGAAGTTTGGAACAGACATCACAAAAGGTATTCAGGTATTGATTTTTATTCCCCATCTGTGATATTACAGGCATATAATCTTTTTGAGCCATAGTCCAGGTCTCTCACCCCCTGATTTTCTCTACAGCCTTTCTGTCCACTAGGCAGTCCCAACCTGAACTCACCGTTCTTGAACACAACACTGAGAACGGTGTACAGTACGATTCTCACAAGGGCCATGTAGTGGAAACTCAAGGCAGCACTACAGACAAATCCTTACACTCATTGAGCTGATGAACTAACAGCTTAGAGTAAATATCTCTGCTCAGAGTCCAGGGAAGTCTTGCTTTGCATTGAATTTCATCTAGTTTCATCTACAGGACACTGACTGCTCCTGTCTTCAGAGTCACTCAGTTCCTCCTGTATCCAAGAGACATACTGGTAATGTCTCTTGTCTTTCTGTCATAGCAGATCTTACCAGCTTGATATTTTCTGGCGAAAACATTTGGACTAACATGATTACCTTATTTTAAGACAAACATATTATCTCAAAAAGTTTGGGTTAGTGCTATAGAAGAAACACATTTTTAAAAAGACCTGAGGAACTCCCCTAGCTATGTCTCTTTGGTCTAATAAATCTGTTTTCAACAATGTCTCTTATTTCCTCCTCAGCCAGCTGCTTACTCATCTTACAAATCCTGTTCTGATCATCCTTCTCCTCAACTTCACCAGTAATTTTAGTTGTGCTGCATTTCTGAAGCTCAGATAACAAGCAAATAAAAAGAATGCTTAGGTTCAGGGCCTTGTGTACTATTTATGCATTTTACTGGATAAAACTCAGAAGCTAGTCAGAGACTATAAGAGTACCTGTACCATCTTCTGTTAGGATGAGTCCAGCTTTCTTCATTCTGTGGCCCAAGCTGAATCAGAGGAGTAAAGGAATACCTCTTCACCTTAATCTCACCTGTACTATGAATGAAGACTCTGCAACTAGCTGCTAGGACATTCTTCCAAGAAGTTGGAGATATTTACTTGACAATGTCAGGAAGAAAAAAGAGACTTTCTGCTTTCTTGGGAAGTCTTCTGATCACAGTGTCACACTTGCAGAATGTTTGGACATCACTTGAAACACAGCTGAAGAAGCCACCTGAGCCACCAGTCACATAATGTGCCAGGCTCAATGCCACCTGCATTCACTAGCAAGCCTCAAATCCACAGAACAGACTGACATCTTTAAGAACACATGCAGAGTCTAAACACTTCTTTGTTTACTATCCGGATGGCATTAGACCTTAACCAGGACTCTGGCTTTCTGAACTGAGGGATCAAGTTCCCCGAACTCTAACTGGAAGATTCCAAATGTGTACCATCCCCTTGAGTAAAAGGAAGGATTTTCATAACCAACAATAAGACAAACTCAGAGAATTTTGACACCTTCAAGTATGGCATTGAGTGGTCTACAAATAATATATACAAAAATATAAACGGAAATAAATAGAAAAATGAAAAACAGTTTTTTATGTTTTAAGAGAATCCCAAAAACGTGAACCTTACAAAAATACAAAAATACCTATATTAAGCACTAAACATGTCAGGTAAATAATTTTGTTACAGAAAAAATATTTATTAAATTGTACTATATTAAGTATTTTTATGTAACAAAGTATGAAGAGTGGTTATGGTAGATACTTAGAGGTGACTGGTTACTGAATTATATAGTGGCTCTGTTAAAAAGGAATTACTACCAAAATACAATGTTTGAAATATCAAAAAGGAAATAGTTGACATAAAAGACTAAGAGCCTGGAAAATTTGTTTTTTCCATGTATCAAGCCTTGCCAAGGGAGAACAAAAATTATATAAAAAACACAAAAAACTGCTTCCCTCAAAACAGAATGCAGCCAAAGAGTCTTTTTAAAAAACTGAGAAAAAGGAAAACAATACCATTCAGCTTGAGACACCAAATGCCAAATTTCTGTATGGAAACATTTTCCCTGAACTATAAATAGCTGAAAATTCAAGTTTATTGTAGAAAATCCTAGTAAACCTAAATTAGAGCAGTATAATCTTCTTAAAATAACCATAAATGTAATCAAATTAAATAAACACGCTTTTTTAAGCTCTGTCACTGCTCCAGTACTTCCAGAAAATGTGCTGAGGTTCATTCAGCCTTCTGATTTTTATTCCATGCAGCTCATTCATATGGGCACTAATAGCACTGGCAAATGTATCCCAGAGCTGCTTAAAAGTAACTGAAAAGACCCAAAAGTAAGGGAGAAGAATCTGGAGGTTCAGGTCTTTTCAGTCTTTCTAGCCAAGCAAAGATGAAGCTCTGCTTTCCTCTTCCACAAGGTGGTGTTCTGGCACAGAGGACAACGGAACAAAGGTAGGTCCATCTTGTACAAGGAAGAATTATTCAGGAGAGCAGTTTTAAACAAGGCTCAGCAGGGAGGTGGCATCATAACTCCATATGTATATGTGCAATGACATGGACAAATGCCCAAAACCTGGGAGGAGGCTCTGAGATAAATAATAGGGTTGCTGGAAGGAGAACAAAGAACACAGTGGACAATCTTCTGAACACATAAATGTTTCTAAACTTTACAAGACATAGAGGCAATAGACAGGAAGAAATTAAAATCCTAGTACATAATCAAATAACGATTGAAGCGGTATTGCGGAGACTTGTTTATATCGTTCACACTACTGGAAGGCAGATATAAAACATACTCATTCCCAAGTTAACTAGGGGGAAAATGGAGAAGATTTACCTGTGAGATATAAAGAATATACACAGATACTCAAAGAACAGTGGGACACACCTGTTGAATATCCCTCAGTAAAGATAACACTGAGTATTCATCCTAGGACTTCTGCTATATGCTGCTGACATGACCACTGGGAGAACAGCAGCTAGGAACAGGCTGTGACTGGAAAAAATAACTCATCAGCCCTTGAGAAGCTTTCATTAAGTAAATTTTTCTTATTATATCAGTGCATATTCATGACCTGAATGATAACAAAGAATTACCATAAACAAAGCAGTTGCAATGTGTTTTAGACAACAGGACTGGAATTCAAAATTCTATTGACATACTAAAGAAATAGATATGATGTATTTCAATAAAAGCAATACATAACACAACATTTAAGACTATCTTTATTGTACCTGACACTGAATTTAAATATTTTTGCATGCTTGTCCTTTCCAAATTCGATCATGTATATTTCTCCATTTTAATAATTTTGAACCCCCCAAAAAAGATATTTGTAAAACAGATGACAGAGAGTACCTGACTAAACAGTTCTATAGAAAAGGACTCAGATATTAAAATGAGTAACAGACTGAATATGAGTCAATAACACCACACTCTCAAGAAGAAAGAAAAAAAAAAAAAAGAAAAAAATGAAATGGCAAATCTAATCCTAGGCTATAAACAGGGATGCCATAGATAAAACAGTAGCCTGCTAGTTAATAAGTAGAAATATTGTGTCTAGTTTTGGACTTGCTGTTTCAAAAAAGAATTCAATCAACTGAAGATCATCCACAGGAAGGCAAAATATAAAATGCAAGTAAATCATTACAGAATGAAATAAGATAAATGCAGAGTAAACTTATTTGGAATAAACCAAATAATAGTTGAGGTCAGAAGAGACCTCTGGAGATCATCTAGTTCAACCTGCTCCGAGCAGGGTCAACTAGAGCAGGCTGCCCAGAACTGTGTTCAGTTGGGTCTTGAATATCGAAGGATGGAGTCTCCTGGGCAACCTGTTTCAGTGCTGACTGCCCTCAGAGTAAATAAGACTTTTGTGATCTTTGACTTTGTTGTACTTCATTTTGTGTCCACTGCCTCTTGTCCTGTTAGTGACTTTGTCTTCTTTATTCACATCACTATTGATAAGATCCCCTTGAGCCTTCTTGTCTCCAGGCAAAACATTCTCAGCTCTCCCAGCTTTTCTTCCTATGACGGATGCTCCAATCTGTGAATCATCTTCATGGCCCATTGCTGGATCTGATCCAGCATGCTTACGTTATCTCTTATACTGGGGATTAAACTTACAGGTATTTCTTTAGTCCACCTCTCCA